CAATCTTTGTTTAAAGAAGAGGAAAGTTATATTTCAGCATTATTTTTTTTTTACAATTGTAGTAATCAAGCTAAATTATCCATAAACCAGAAAAAAAATATCAATTTTACATTTGAAGGAAAGTTTTCTATTAAAAGATAGTTTTGTTTGGTATTTCATGCCTGGGATATAACTGCTGTAGCCACCCAGAAACCAGACTGCGGTTTGTTTTTTCTTTATTATTGCTTGGCAAATTACTGGGGAAAAATATCAGAATTTGAGGTAATTCCAAAAGAAGTTTTCCTGCCTTTACTCGATCATTCTGTCCTAGTGGATTTGTGCATTGTCACTCTGGCTATGCAGCTTCTTTAACCACGAGAAACCTTTTGAAATGGCCAATGAGCTGCCATTGTAGACCTGATATGAAGCACCTTCAGTTCAGTTGGGCTGGCAGCGAGGTGACAAGGTGCTCTGAAGGATCAGGGCCTTGGCTGTGCCTGGGGCTTTGTACCAGAAGCCCCCCTTGAGAGGACAGGCTCCCGTCTCCTGGCAGCTCCAGTTTGCTCCCCTTGTGTCAGCAGTTCCATCTCAGCATGAAGGTACTCCTGGTCTGTGATTGCAACCCCTGCGCTGTGCAGAAATTGTTCATTTGAAGGTATCCATAACACTGTGAAAGTTGGTTTGGGGTTTTGTTTGTTTGTTTGTTTGAGTGGCTGCTGAGGCTTTCTTGTTATTCCCAGTACTGCAGTGTTGAAGATGAAGAGGTATAGTTTCTTTCATAGCACAGCTTTCTGACCCTTCCTTAAAAGAAATTAATTTAAACATTCCTACATCAATAATGGGCAACAGGATTCTTGAAAACATGTTCCTTTTGCATGCTTTGAGGAAAGTTAGGTTCAGAAGTGCTCCTTCAGGTGTAAGCACTGACTAGTTGAACTTTTCCAATTTGTTTTGCTGCAGTTTGCTTTGAAATTGGCATTTGTTGCCAATAACAGGTTAGGGTTCTTTTTTTTCCAGGCATAGTTTCAGTGGCTGCCCTGTATGGTTTATTTCAGGCATTACATTGTATACATTTCATTTACCAAATAAAAAACCCCACTCCATTGGAATACAAAAAAAAAAAAAAAAAAGCCAAAAGGAGTGTCAATTGTTTTTGCAACATCCATCTGCAACACTGAATGAAATAATGAAATCTGGAATAATTCTTGCTTTGGAGATGAAGACTTCTCAGTTCATCGTTGGCTCTGCTGCCGTGTTTTCCTTGAGGAAAACCTCTTTCAGCTTGGACTGTCAGACCAGAAATGGGCAAGAGTGGTGTGAGGCATTTTAAAGCATTTTGAGATCCATGACAAATATTAAACAAGTTAAAAGCAATAGTTTTAGTTGCCAAATACAGAGCTGTGCTTAACGATAGTCTCTGTGATTCATTTAATGCATTTAGCATTTTTCTTCATGTATCATTTTGATTTATACAGTTGTATCCATGATTGTGTCGGTATCTGCAAGTGTAATTAGAGAACAAAGTTCAGGCAGTGGATTATTAATGAATGACTATAAATATCATTTAACGTGTATTTCTTGCTCGTAAATGGTTGGCTGTTTAAATCACATGGGTTTTTTCTGCTCATTGGCTAGAATAAAGCCCAAGAGACTGAGCAGTCAGTACCCATACAGCAACATTCATCTAGCGAATGCTCTCACAGATCTGTGCTGTCAGCTGAATGCTTGTGAGCAATGCAGTTTGGGATCCTTCAGAAGACACCTTGCGAGTCTTGAGCTTAAAAATGTCTCATTGATTCTTGTATTATTTGGCTATCTTTGCTGGCACGTCAGATTTATTCTGTAGCACTTTATGTCTGAAAGGTGTGAGCATTGCTTATTTTATAATATTAAAGAGCAACTGCAGTGACTGAGAACTTTGTAATGTGAGAAGGCAATGAACAAAGCATAGGGTGCAGTGCTTTAGAGCAGGATGCGTGGCGGCCCACTCTGCTGTTCCTGCCCTGGGGATCCGTGCTCTCTAAGTGTCAAGTGCAGCAGGTTTCACTCACCTTACGCTTCCCTTCCCTTGGATAAGTGGAAGCGCCAAATCTGTGTTCTCCTGCCTTCCTAGGTTGTTAAAAGGAATGTAGTTTGGCTGCAGGTTCTGTGCCCTGGTCACCTCAAACTCTCAGCTCATGTATTTTGTTAACCTGGATGCTTAACAGAATGTGTCATGCATTAGGCTTTAAAACTAGGAGAGAGCAATAGCAGCATGCAGGTGCCTTTGGAGATGCTCTGGATGGGCTGCTCGTATGCTAAACTCTTGTTTTCAAGGGAAGGGGTTCTTTCTAGTGGTGATTTTAGCCAAAATTTGTTGGTGAGATTTTCAAAACATCTTGGAGTGCTAGCATGAGTCACTATTGGCTGTACAAATCTAATTACCTCTGCTTTCTTTTTTTGGCAGTGCTATTTTGATTTATTTCTGAAAGTCTTAATGAACTGCATTGGGAAAGAGATTACATGATTTATGTAACATTTATTTTCTTTTATTCTTTGTGATCTGCCTTGTTACAAACTATGAATTGTTTAAGTGCTTTTTTTGCTTTGAACTACCAAGAGAGTGGCAGCATATCTGGTTGGCTTTGTTTGTTTTTCTAAATGAGTCTAAACTGGAACTGATGCTCTGCACCCTGCATTCCTTATGGGCGTCCTCTCCTTGTGAGGGTGGGAAGGCAGCTTTCTTTTGCCTTTGGCCTCGCTGCTGACAGCTGCAAGAGGGAATCCACAGCAGTGTTCTCTTGTGGCACAGTGACAGTTTCCCTGAGATTGATCTGCAGTCATCAATATAAAGGGGCATCAATGTAAAGTAATGCCTCCTATTTCATTATGTTGGCCCATGACACCAGAGGCGGATGTTGGTGGTCAGCAGTAGAGGCTGAATCTTTAATGCTCCTTAGGTGGAGTTGTCTTGTCTCTGACTGGAGGTGCAAGAAAACCTTGGTGCCATAATATGTCTTATTCCTGAGGAAAGTATCTCTTTGCTGTTGAAAGTCAGCAATCTTATGGCCAGATGCTAGAGAAAGCAAAGTTGTTTTGTTCAAACTCATAGCTAGTGATGTCTGAACTGCCGGAATCGAGGAAGGCATCAAGCAGCGAAGGTGTGCATCCCAACTGCAAAGTGCACTTAGCAAAAGTTGTGTAAAATCCAACTTAATGAGGTAGAGAGCTGGCTGGCACCAGTTGTTCCGTATCACACTTCAGAAGCTTATCCCCAGTTTTATATGAGGGAACTGAGGAAATGAGAGGAGTTTGTCTGAGCAGCCTGAGCGAGCCGCTGGCAAAGCTGGAACCGCAGTGATGCTGGAGCCCCAGGCTGTGCTGCTGGGTGCCTCCTGCATGCAGGCACTGCACAGCCACTCCTGCCTCGGGGTTCTCACACCAGTGCTTTCTAATACCTATGCAATTACTTGTTCAAGGAAAACAAAATCCTTACCTCAACCAGTTGACCTTTATAAGTGGAACATATTTAGAAAAAGCATAATACATATGAAATTATGTATCTATGTGCATTCTGTTTTTACACATTTTTATATAGAGGACTTAGCATTAAATGTCTGACTTCTTTGGCAACTTTTGAATTTCAAATAAATTTCTGGCCTAAAAGATGTTCTCTAGATCCAGTTTCACAACAAAAGCAGACATTCTGTCTTCTGCCTGTAAAACTGTGTTTGAGCAAATGTTGACCTTAACTGTAAGGGGAAGAGTGATGGTGTTTGGATTTTCTTTTCCTCCCACTGAAATCAAGGAAAAGAAAATGATTCAAATGTTAATTGAGGAATTTGTTCATGTAAAGGGTCAGTAGCTGGGGTTGGGACTTAAAAGTATTCTTTCTCTCAACAAAAATAAATACAATGTGCAGTTAGCATTAACTGGTACAACTTGGTCCCTCAAATGGTTTAGAAACCATAAAGCATTTTCTCTGTGATTTTTTTGACACTGTAATGTAATATCTGCAGTCTTATGCTTTTCAGCTGACTTTGAAAAATGACACTGTAAACTATTCCTTGTTACTTGCATTTTTGAGGGCTAGATTATACAAAGTGCCAAGCCCTTGTCTCCTACTGAGTCAGTATGAGGTGAGCGTGCTGCAGAGATGTTAAACATGGACAACCAAGCCTTGTGTTTAAAAGAAGAATAATAATGCAGAAGGACTAAGACAGGATGTCAACTATCTTTAGATCTATTATATTATAGAAATAAATGCTTTGCACTTTTGACAGTGCTGGCTGAACAGTGTGAAGTTTCTTTCTATCTCGTTTGCAGGGTATCTGTGTCTTGCTACATTTAGCTGTTTCTATATGAATAAAACATACTGCTGGTTGTTGTGACTTCTAATTCAAACCCATGTTAAAGAATGTTGGCTAGCTGTTTCTAGAGATACCTGAGGAAATATGTGTTGAGTGATGGAGGGGTACATCAAGGCAGTCTTGCTGAGTGCTGCCATAGGTAGCTCAGCCAAACCCCTCAAGCTTTGGTCCTGTTTCTGCTGTGTGAGTGTTACTGAGCTCACAGTCCTCATGCTGTGCATGAGGTGGCCTCCATGCTGTATTCTTATAGTGACGATAAAAGCCTGTAGCTCAAGCTACAAGAGCAGCAAATGAAAAATAAAATGGACACATCAGTAGCCAGACTTGTTCTGATTAGTAAATTATGCTCCCTTGAACCTGTAATGCTACTCTATGTTTTGGTTCTTAGGAGTGTGCTTTCAACTAAAAATCCAGTTGGCCTCTTAAAACACAAATTTGATCGAGAAATCCAACAATCTTCAATCCACAGTCGGTTTTGAATCAAGTAAAGCAGTGCATTTCTGTGTGCATTGAGAATATTCTTTTAATGTCTGACATTCCATGTACTTCTGACCATCTCCAAGCATTTCTAAAGAAGCTCTTAATAAAGAGACTTAACTCATGTAATGTTACGTGCTGTGCTTCATTGTAAATTGAGTATGGTCCTGAATTTATTTATTTGTTTATTTACAGAGGCATGGAATGTTCTGCAGGTGCTGGAGCTCCGTGATTTCTGTTAAAAGGTAAGACTGACTTTGTTCAAAGATACCTGAATGATATTTGTCAGTTCAATATCAATCTGGATTAGAAAAAGGGGGGGGGGGAGGGGGTGGATGGACTGGGTGGGTGGAGTAACAATGATACATAAAAACAAAATTTAATGAAAAGAACTCACGTTGTGGGTGAATTTCATGAATCATGTAAAGGTGTGCATAAAAAATTGAATATGTACACTTTAGATCTCAAATCTGATAAATATTTCATTGGATTAAGAAATGCACTCTTGAAGCTTACCTGTATATAAAACACAAGAATGCATTATGGAGGTAAGTAAGGTACTCTGTCAATTAGCACACTTGTGTATGTCTGTCACTAAGAGAAAAAAAAATCTTTGAAATCATTAAGCTTAAGGTGGTTGTACAGTTTAGAAATGCGAGCCTTTGACTGAATGGAACTAACTGCTGGGGTCACTAACTGCCTGTATAAAATATACATGATAGAAGAGTAATATAAGCGTGGGATCTGCTAACACACACTTAAAATACAACCTTAATGCTCTAAGTTGTCGTTATAGGTGTGTGCTTAAGGGGGAACTAGGGCTTGATTCTGTCATCACCGAAACCAGAGCTAAGGTTACAACTTAGCAGCAAAAGCAAAGTTAGTCTGATGCTTGCTTCTCTTCATAGGCTGGTAGCCCACCCCCAGATAAACCCATCTTGCTGCAGGCTTTAGAAAATGCCATTCATGAAAATGCCTTTCTGGCTCAGCCCCAAGCTTAGATGGGACACTGAGATTTTTAGGAAGGGTCTCCCTCTGGAGTTTGTCTTAAACTGGTGAATGTCTGCGTCGTACCACCTGTCTTGGCCTCTGTCAGCGAGTGCTTCTGAAGGTGGCTCTCTCTTCGGCATTAGGCTGTTTTGCTTTGGCTGTTCTGTAAAGGTGCTCCATCTGGTACAGTTTGAGCCATTTAGTTTAGCTCTGCACTCTTCTGAGAACTGTAAATAGGAGACTTGGATGGGAAACACCAGTAACATGCTGAGTGTTTCTGTGGGCTCGATTTGACAAGCCTAAGCACCAATAATCAGTTCTTTTGCTTCAGATTTTACTGGTAGTGCAGATGGGTTTTTGTAATATCCAATGTGTAAGTGTGTGAAAGTGCTAGCAACTCTCAATATAATAGAAGGGAAATGATTCTTCAATAAAACAAAAGAAATTTTCACATCAGAACAAACAAGTGATAAAATGAGTTATCAGGCTCTGATATGAGGGAAAAAAATCACGATTCTTTAGGATTAATGAGAAATTGTTTAGAAAGAGATGTTCCTATTAGCACTTATTTCATCTACCTGCTTACCTTGTTTTGTGTGGTTCCATTCTTTTAGGCTTGATCTGCCTTAAGTGTTGAGGGGTGGATGGGAAAAGTATTTCCAATGGTGCAATTATTGTAACCAATAAAATGAGCAGTGTGTGATGCTATCTAAACTAAAGGTACCTGTTTCTAAGCTAATCTTACTGCCATAAGGTGGAGTTTTGAACAGTGGAGACACATATGCATGTGATAAAAGTTCTGCTAGTGTAATTAGTATCAGAATTTGGCTGACAGATTCTGTGAAGACTTTGTGGCCATGTTTTGCATGAAAAATGTGCATGTGATGGTTGTGGTTTTCTACTGATGTGTCAGGGATCAGCACCTACTCAAAGAATCGGGAAAATTATAACTGCATTATGAACACTGAGGTGCAGTGCATGTAGCTTCTTACACATCCTTCATACTCCTAGTGCAAAGTTAGCTTGAGTATCTGTTGCCAGTTCATAATGTAGCAGATGTTGCATATTTTCTGTTCTTTTCCTTACTGCTAAACAAGGCCGTTACCTCCCCCAGGTTCCTAATAAAAATGATCCAAAAAAATGTGAATCCAATTCTACTACCCGCACTGTAACATCCAATATTTTTGAGTATTCTCAGGTTTGAGGAGGAAAGAAACAAGCCATAAGTTATGGAGTTAGAGGACAATCTAAACAAAATGACCTTTGGTATCATGCTTGCCATATTCTGATGAATAAATTGAGTTCATGTTTAACATTCAGATAATACTCCAGGCAGAGCCAAACATTGCCACGTTAAATGTTCAGATCAAAAATGTTAAATGCAGACTAAATTAAGTTGGATCTTAGGACAGCAAACTTAAAATGAGTAACATGTGGCAATATTTGATTTAACAAAGAAATGTTTCTTTTTTTCTTTTTCTTTTTCTTTTTCCTTTCTGTTTTACTGTATGCTTAAAAGTATAAAGATACACATGCCACAATGCAGTGCCAGGAACGTTAACTGCTTTTGATCTCTCCCTTCAGATATTAACGTCTCCCCCCAAACACACCCCTTGTTTGGCGTCTTAAGAGTTTTCATACCAATAAAGATGCAGAGAACAGCAGTCTTTGCTTCTGTTTCTTAAGCTTGTTTTCTTAGTGTTGCGTGATCTGTGCCCTGGGGAGATCAATTTTAATCAGCCCCCAGGCACTGCTTAACGTTTAGGGCCAAATTTTCAAAGAAGGCCTCAGTTGGATTTTGATTAGTGAGTGTATGATCGTTTCTTGCACTGTTGAGCCTCTCAAACACATGTTTGGTTTTGCCTGCCAAAGTACAGTTCTCAATGCTTTGAAGTGAAGATGTGGTCGTCCACGCTACTGACATGTGCGTTCTTTGTTTGCAAGTCGGGTAGTTGCACATCTGTGTGTATCCTGCATTGATTGTGGCTGTACAGCTGCACCTGTGTTTGATTGTGGGTATGAAATGGTAGGTATGGTGCTGGAATTTTATTTTTGGAAAGGCAGTACCATTTTTCCATGAGATTGGTATGATTCTCATTCATTTCTGGTCTGTTGTTTTTTTGCAATTTAATCTTCTGGGAAGCATTATACTCTGCAGAAATGTTCATTTTTTTCTGGTATTGCAAGTAAAAAGTAATGGTAGTGCCAGTATTTTAATAAAAGGTTCCATAGCTTCATGGGAGCATCTAATTTGCAGGGAAGTAACATAGATCTAGTCATCCCTGAAAAAGTCCATTAGTCATTCGGGCTTAAGCAGCGTTTAAGGCAGCTGGAGCTTCGTGCACAAGCCCATTTAGATATCTGTGACAACTTCTCACCATTATAATTCCAGTAGGAACGCAGAGCATAAGTGCAGAAAATGCCTTTTGCAAGCCACAAATGTTGGTGCTGACATAGAGACTTGTGTCCAAAGTAATTATTTGTTTAAGTATTGTGGAGTAACCATATCCAGTACTTTGATGCCATTCCTATGTGCTCTCTGGTGAGGGTGGGGGAACTGCTAAAACATATTTACCAGTTACTATTTCTGCATGTGGTTATACTCTGAATGATCAAAAAATTCTAGTCAAGATCAGGGCTCCGTGTCCCTTATAAAAAAGAAATTGATGCTTGCCTCAAGAATCTCATCTCTGTTTATAAAGCTCTGAAGTGCAGGAGTCAGGACAATGAGGGCAGACTCTTTTCATTGGTGAGCAGTGGTAGAACAAGTGGCAATGGCAGCAATTGGAGCACAGGAAGCTTCATACTAATGCAAGGAAGGAATTCTTTACTGTCAGAATGGAGAAGCAGTGGCACAGGCTGCCTGGAGGAGTCGTGGAGTTTCCTTCTCTGGAGATGCTCAAGGCCCACATGGATGCTGCCCTGTGCAACCTACTGCAGGGAGCTGCTTTAGCTGGGGGTTGGGCTGATCTCTAGAGGTCCTTCACAATACCTGCAATTCTGTGATTATTTGAGTCGAATACGTTGGTGCTAGAAAAAGACAGTCAGTGCTGTCCAAGTAAGAACCTCAAGGTTGAAGAAGTGGATTTCCAGCATTATGCTGACTCTGTGAAACTTGTACCATTGCAACCAGCTCAGATGTAGGTGGACTTTTAAATTCTTTTTTTTTTTTTTTTTTTTGATCCCTTGCAAAATCCCTTTGTAGTTCCAGGCAGGTCACTCAGGAAATATGTTAGGATGCAGGGCATGGAAACCAAGAATAACTTAGGTGCAGGCTTTTCAAGAGGAGCCTCAAGGCCCTTTTCTTTGTATGCTTTTCCTCTGCTTGCAGCGTATGCAGTGGGTTACTGTCCTGCCCTGCGTACCAGGAGAAGCAGTTGGAGCATAGCTTCGGCTTTGCTGCAAGAGGAAACAGGCCTGAGATGATTTAAAAAATGGCAGGCTGGAAGGGAGCAATCCTCTAGTAAAAGTTCATAACCATGCAATTACAGCATAGTGGCTGGGCAAGCATACCAGCCTCTGAGAAATTCTGTACTTAGTTTTAATGCATTTCAGTCTTACTTGAAGGTTCAGCTTTTGGAATGTGTAACTACAGCATAGAGTTTCACAGAGCGCACAGCCAGAAATGTTACAGAGTTGTCCAAGACTTCCTCTCTATGCTTTCATGTGTATGTATGCAAATCCATGCAGGACATGTGCTGCAACTTTCTAAATTAATTTATTTGAAAAACTGGAACATGGGTAACACCAGCAAAAGAAATGCACAGTCACGAACAACACAGCTACAAACTGATTCAACTTCTGTTCACTTTTGGAGCTGAAAATAATATGCAAGGAGTTTTTAGCTTTGGAAAAGGTAGAAATAGCATCTTGTGTCCTAGCAGGGACTGAAAGTGTCTTTTTAAACTGCAGTCAGCTTTGAAAATTGTCTTGTTGCTTGTAACAGAAAGGAACTTAAAAACAGAGAAAAAGAATTCTAACAAATGTGAGCGGAACAAGGCATTCCTTGTGTCTGCTTTGCTTCTCCACCCTTCAGGTTTGTGCAGCAGAAAGGCTCTGCACTACACTGCATGCTGCATTTCTTTAAACTTTCTGAAACTGTACAGAGGTTTTGATTGATCTTTGAGATGCAGAGCAGCCATAGAGATCCTGACAAAACAGTTTGTTTTACGAACTGGAATGTGAAACAGAAAAAAACCTTCACAGAACATTATTGACCTTTTTGGGTGGAATAATACGTTTTTTGGTCATTTCT